TTACTATGTATGTATTTGGTCACGATTGCTAGGCCGCATGTATTATAGAGCAGCAACGATGGACAACGGTAACTACTTACAGCAAGAAGCTAGCAGTAGAATCAACTCCCTATAACAACAGGCCGTATTTGCATTGCTTAAGCTGAGATGGGCTAGGGCTCCGTGAGAGAGTCCGTCGGCGGTACATCAACTGAGGGTCTGACTTCGGTAGCGTTCAGATTTGATCGAATAGCAGTTTCAGAACAGTAAGTTGAATCAACGGTGTTCGGCCTGAATCCCTAATCGCGGAAGATACCCCGTTCCGTCGGGCTCAAATTTCTCCTTTCTTTCTCATTGACAAATTCAAAATCGCATCTCGCAATTGAGAAAAAAATGATGGTGAAAGCAAGTAGGCCGCACTGAGCGCTAGTGACTATGAGGATGGAAGAAGGGAATGTTGATCACTACTGAGGTATAATCATGAAGTAGTAGCTCTAGCAGTGTCGCAGTCCATTAAGCATAGTCTCGTACATTCTCAGGCCAGTCTTAGTTGGATTAGAAGCTCCGGTCCAAGAGATACATTGCCTGGGCAGAAAAATACCTACATATATAAAACATAACCCCACAGGTACATCTACGGTATAGACCCAATGCGCTGAGAGAGAAGCGGTGATATAATAATGCGGGCGGCTTTACTTCGAAAAATTCGGTCTCGTATTGTATCACATCATTGCTTACGTTTGTGTTGATCGTAAGATTATCAGTCACTGGAACGATCTGCATTCAGCTGGAAAACCATTCTTGTCCAGTTAACGTTGATGGGACCAATACTGTTGCTGCTGCGATGTTCATTCCAAAGGTCTCACCAACTTGTAGTGAAAGATGCCAGAGCTAAGACAACATTGTTACAGAGTTTTTTGTTTTTCAATAGGCCGAGTTGTATTCATGTATAGAGACAAAATCTATTTATAGTGATGGAGGGCACCTGCCTGTTCTTGTTGTCCCCATGCGCAAAAATCTCTGTTTAATAACACTCTGAGCTTGGCCAGGAGCTAATGAGCGCGAACCCTATGTCAGGGGTAAATGCGCAGCTCCGTAACCAGGAGCCTCGCTGGGCCAGTCTATACGCCGGAATGCTTAGTCCCTTCTACCCTGGAGTTCGGACGAAGTTGGGACTAGAATCATCATGTCTGAACCTCGCATAAGTAAGGCCTCGACCCAAGTCTTTCAATCAAGACCGACCGATATTACTTAGAGGCAATCGCCATATCATAACTCTCGCTACCTCTTGACCATTCTGTACTCTCGTTTTACGTTGGACCTACAAACAAACAGCTCGTCACGACCTTCAATTGCTCAATGATGATGGAAGTTGAAGGAAACCCTTCTTACAAAGCTTTCGTCATATCTCCTCCGCAGGAAAATCAGGACACCCCGCAATTCTTCTCAGACTTGTTGATAGAGGCTCTTTACCTCTATGTTCCTGTGCCCTTTCACACAACACATACGCTGATAATATGTGTATCAATTATTCCCTTCAGCATTCCAAGCCATCACGGCCAGGTTTTCTATCATGCAGAAGCCTCATATGCGCAGTGTTGTGAAGGTCTGGACAGAAATTCGTTTATGCCTACAATTATTAGCACAGCACAGAAAACTTACGCCATGTACATGCCGTATCATCCGTGGAATTTTGAAATGGCTGGTGTATGGTTAGTTATTCTGGTCCATATGAGAATGTTCTAGCCCAATACTAATCGCGCTTCTCAGGCGGCAGGTACAGGTTTCCTCGGGGATTGGGCATGGTGGCTTAACCTGCGCACAGAGATCGACATTAATCTTCGATCAGATGCTAGGGTCTCCAGCATCTTCGTCAGATGGAGAGGAGATCTACAGCCAGGGCTATGACTCAAACTTCGATTCTAAGCAACATTTCTTCGTGGACGAATTCGTAGGATCTGTGCTAGGAACACCTCCAGCCGAACCACCGGTTGATTGTTCCATGCAAGATGCAGAAAGCCACAGTGTCATGCAAACAAAGCCCCTAGATAACCACGAATGTCCAATAACGAAAGTTGCGGATGAGTTCCTGAACAGCTTTTGCAACACAGAATCGTATATCTTGGCGACCGAGTTTAGTAACCGCCTTTTGAGTTCAACATTACCAGAGGGCACGTACTCTGAGCCTGCTATGCAGGCCTTCAGATGTTGCGAATTAATGGCTGGTCAGGCAAAGGAGCAACTGAAGAACGCGACCTTCACTCGGTTCTTCTCTCTGTGCTTCTTTCTCCTTTGGGAGGGACTCGCATGCGAACCGGGGAAAGCAGGTGCTCGCGTAGTATGTATCTTGAGAAAAAAATGGCGTGCAAATGAATTTCCTGCTGACAGTTATCAAGATCAATGCACGAATGAGGGAAGCGGGCTTTGAGGGAACTTCGCGTAGTCTGAAGACTCTCCGCGATGAGACAATCTTCATAAACCGGCTTGTGGCTTCCATTGAAATGTCACATGGGATAGGCGTTGCATCGCTGGTCTTCTATCACATTTTCGGTGAGAGCATTCGGCTAAAATACTTCCTAAGCTGCTGACTGAACATGCGTAGGGGCCTCAAATTACCGGCTTATCCGCCTCATGAATCGCTATGGTGGCGCTAAGAAGCTGCTCGCCATACGAAGAATCTGCGAAAACCTACAAGTTTCTAGACTTGTTGCCAACCCTCTACCCATTCTGCGGATACATGATCTGATAGGAGAACACATGCCAGACCTTCCGTATGTTCCCTGCAGTCTAGATCGATGCATTCTATTGACAGTTGGCAGCAACAAAGTAATCAACGCCGCGGTAGGATACTTGGATGTACACACCTCATTAGCCGTTGAGCAAGACCTGGATTTTCCTGGATTCGATCCTCAATTAGGTTTCTTGCAGTTATGATGAACATCTTGTCTATACAAGCCTACCTAAACCCACACTACTTCGTGATAACGTCGAAATGTGGTCAAGATAACTTGTGAAGCTAACAAAACGATGAGAAGTTAGCTAGCCGTTTGCCACTCGGGTACTCCCTTGTAGACTATCATTGAATTACCATGATGCTTATGAACAAGGATATGAGTAGAAGCGATCATTGTCAATCAGTATGGAACCCTGCCTAAGCACGAGCTGCTTACTTCTGTTGGTTTTCTGCCGAAGTAATCCCATCTCAATAGTTGCGCTAAGACGGGGATGAATTATGCTCTGACTTTATTTGCAGTACTCAATGCTTACTGTAGCTTATAAACCCACGTGTATAGTACTCTAAGCTAGTTTCTAGAACACCGCAATAGATTACATCCTACGCAGAATACTACATATGCGCTAGCATTCACGTAGACTAGTAAGATATGTCTGTCAAAATTTCTTGGTGATGGTCACACAGTTGGGAGGGTTTTTTCTTCTCTCACATAATGCTGCTGAACACTATAACCATTACCTTCCGGTTTCTCGCAATGAAATCTAGCCTGCTCTTCTTGATTGTGGTGTGTGGCAACTAGCATCTCTATAGCCGAAAGCCTGTGCGTTTTCATGTTTTATACGACCCATGGCTGGGCCACTTCACTTACGATTATCACATGAGATGGCATCCAGATATATCTAGACTAAGTTGAATAAAAGAGGAGTACACACGTGGTTGATGGTCTGTCCTATGACCGTGCGATACGATGATCCCCTTGTAAATGAGCAGAATTGCTAAATTTAGGTATAAAAGGAACGTGCTTTGTTTGAATCTAGCCGTATCATTGAGAATGTGGCCTCGGTATGCTACTATCATGGAATAGAGCACTTTCTCTTGCATCTAGATCTTTCGTTTTACCGAATACGACAGCGTCTCTAGCTCAACTTTGAAGATGGAGTCTAAAACTGATGAGTAAACCGAAACCGGCATCGTACGAGTACGCCTAGGAAGAAACAATGTATTCAGCAGTCACGCGCAAGACTATGGCCGTTGTGCAGGCAGTCTCGGTTGCTCTGAAACTCGTTTTGTCCATGCATACGAATGCACACTGTTCTTTGACCATAGAGCGCCTTTTAATACAAGATGATTTACATGGGCTTCTTATGAAATGTCTTAGCGCTGACCGCAAACAACCGACCCGCAGGACTTCATTTCGCTTTTAAATAGTAGAGTACCACCTGGTAGACATAAAAAGCGGTACTCTAGGTTAGGTTGTGCTTTATGTGGTCAACGGCACCACCTACCCGCGTCTTTCTGTTCTTTTTGTTTTTTTGGGTTATTTTAGCCCACAGAGAAGACAATACGCGTAAATTATAGAATACGTCTTAATATTATGACTGTAGTGCAAAGCTGGAAAATTATTAACATTCTAGCGTGTTAACGAATATGGGTAGGTAGTGGCCTGTGTAGAGTATTACTTTTTTTGACCATCGATTAAGTATCGTTTCTTTTCTGTGTAGAGGCTAGTAGGGTGTGCTCGGTGGTATGTTGTAGTATAAGCGCCAGTTAGGGCGACTTTTCTCTAGGTGAAGAACGTACAGATACATTCTTACCGAATGCTATCATCAAAGAAGAGGGTCTCAATTCTAGTGAAACTGTTCGATGATCATGCACCCACTTTGAGATTGATATCCGCTGCAAAGGGCGCACTTCGAGAAAAATAATTTCCTTCGAATTAGAGCCAAAAATGGTTTGCTGGAGCATATGCTTTCACTTTCAAACCCTTCTTATTTTCAGCCGACGAACTTCATCTCTCGTCAAATATAAAGTGCTCTTCTTATAAAAGTCTTAGTCTGACTGTTATCCGCACTCTTATCGATTCGCCTGACACCTTGATGCGTGTTTTCGGGTTACATAAATCATAATATTGTAATATACCTGGGCTAATATTATGCTTGGCCGATCATGTCCAGGACATGACAGATCGCTACAGGCATGAATTAAAGAGACCCCCACAACCACATCCCTCAAAAGTTCCTCACCCATCTCATGAAAAGCTTCAAACAGCTCATTTTCCTATCCCCCTTTAGTTCCTGCAGCAGCACCTGCTAAATCCCAGGTAGCACGACTCCATAACCAAGAAACCACCGCGGTTCTGGCAGTACCACTCGCACTTCTTAGCCCAATCAAGACGGCATCCAGAGCGGGCTCCAGGGCAAGCCTAGTCACAGTTAGCCTCTTGCATTTCAAAGACATTCCAGCATATAAGAATCCCAAAAGTGCCAAAGCCACAACAATAAAGACACGAGATGAATAAGGAAGGAGGAAATGGGGGACTTACACGAGGAACAAGTCCAGCAGCTTCCGCCTCAGCCTCTCGTGCCTCAAGCGCAGACATAGTCGGTGTGCCAGCTACAACGGTAGCGAGAGTGGCAATAGCGGTGATGAGAGTGAACTTCATATTTGCTGTTTTCTTTTCGTAGAAAAAGGACGAGTCTGAATTGAGTCTTGTAGGAGTGATAGTGGTGAAGAAGAGAACAGAAGAGATGTTTGATCGATACTGTGATGCTTCTACTTCCCAGTGGACTTCACTGCTGGCTTTTATACACATCTTGTCCTCATATCAATTTATTTTCTTTGCCTTGTTTTCAATTATTCCGCCCCCAAGAGGGCCATCATGCGGTCCATGGCTGTGCGGTGAATGCGATGGATGCGAGAAGGGCTACTTCGCGTCTGGGCAACATGTGTATGCAAGCCTCGTGTGGAGCTGACAGGCGCTTTCATTACGGCACACTCTGCAAAGACATGATGATTGACGTACATGTTGGGTATAGTGGTTGGACAGAGCAAGGGCACTGGCATCTCGGTACCTAGATGCGAAGATATCTTGCAAGGATGAAGTTTGGTGCGTTGTTACAACTTATCTCGCTTGCAAGTGCCGATGACGGTACATCGTCCACACTGCTTACACAAAAAGGTAAATTAAAATGGTCATTGTACACAGCATAGACACTTCTTAGTTTGTTACAGCTCCAGCACCGTTTACTTCCACAAGTACCTTATCAGTGTTCGCACTTGATTGTATCTACCGAAATACCCTGTGGCGCAAGCGATTGGCCAGCATGCGATCCTATAAAAAAAAGGTACCTGCATTCACATCTTTATCATCTAACCGAAAGGAAGAAGAAAAAACTCCCTAAACCGCGCCCCCACCCCCCTTGCGTGCGGCTGAGGGAAAAAGGCAAACCGGTATGTAGTTACCGTGACGCATACACATAAAAATGGCCGATGAACAAGCACGCCCCGCCCCCGCTCTCTCTTTCCCCTCTGTCCCCACAACATAGCTGTCAAGCCGTAAATCTTGGGGGGGCGGAAAATAAAGAAAGGGAGTTATTAGTGGTTGTCGCAACTTGGCCAGTATTTAGGCCCTCTGCGATTCGTAGATGCGAGATACGATGGCGGGAAGACGAGTGACATTCTGTTTGTCGTTGGGGGCCTAAAGTGTGCCTTGCTGCGGAAAAGGGTCCTGTGGTCGTTAGTGGCTGTTTTCTGTCACCATGAAAAAAAATGACACGATGTATTTTGTTTGATGAAATTTGGGGGGTTGTGGAGATGGCGTGGTGGAGCGTAGTGGGTGGAGGAGTTTAAGCGCGTGGCGCTTGGAGATGGAGGGGGATGGCGTCTGCCAGAGGTGATGATACGACGATGCGGAGGTGAGGCTGAACGATTCTTGTTCTGTATTTAGGACCTGAATGAGTTGTTCTTTGTGGTTATTTTGGGTCGCGGGGTATGTATCAGCCTTTGGTTATTGTGGTTTGAACGAAGACGGTCACTCGCATTAGTTGGAACCCAATTAGTGTTGATTTGTAGGGCAATCCTGAGCACCTATTACCCAAGATTCATTCTCAGAACTTATTTTAGCAGTAACAAGAGAAGGAACAGTATCCCCAGTTGCGATCTGCTAAATTCCATTTGATATAGTCGATCGCAGCCGAGGATCTTCTCACCTATTCCTACACTAGTGGAGCGGCTATCACAGGAAACACAGTAATTTAGAAAACACTCCCCACGAATCGGCGAATCTTGGACGTGCTGCAAAACCGTAAGCCCTAAGCTTCACCTGTCCACATGTCACATGGAAGGCCTTTAGACACGACGTTAAGCTTGAATGAACAAACAAACAACCCTATTCCTGCACCGCTAAGGTCAGAATGCACCTGCGAGGCGTTTATCATAACTAGCTAGTGATATAACCGCTTCATCTGCTCCAAAACTCATCAAGATTGATCTGAAACCCAATCACTCATTCACCCCACAAAATTCCAAGAAAAAAAATCTTTATTGGAACAACTACCATGTAAGCTATAATCTCCCTCCCATTGCCACAAACTCAACCTACTTCCTAAAAAGAAACCTCCCCATATCTTTCTCTCTCCATCTCCTTTCCACCATCCCATCACATAACCCCCTAATACTTCTCTCTCCTAGAGCGGATTCGAAGCAATAACAACAAAGCATCCCTAATTAGTCCCCCATGTTAGTTAAGTTTCTTTTTTCTGACCTACTAAGCTATTTAAGAAAGAAACGAAAGGCCTATATGTATAGAAAGAGAGAGAGAGAGAAAGAGAGATATCAAAAACTTACACCTCTAGTATCGCAATTCCCAGAAGTTACTGCACCGAAGTTACACTGGCATGGTTGCGAGTTTCCAACGCATGGCCCGCCAAAGCTGATGTCGGAGCCCCTGCAAGTGAAGGAGATTTGGGCTGTTACTGCTGAGAGCAGGAGCATGCTGGTGGCGAGGAGGGAGGGGAGCTGGAACTGCATTTTTTTCCCGTTGGTTTGTTGTTGTTGATGATGATGATAGGGGATTGAGGTAAGGTGTGTGTGTGTGTGTGTTAGTGCTGAAGTGGTAAAACTGTTGAGTGATATTGGGTGAGGTATAACTATAGTAAGTAGTAGTATTTATATAGTCATAGTTATGTACTTCTTATCATATAATTCTTTCCTAAGCCATATACATTGCGCGTATAGCTACTATCTACCAGAACAAAAGTTACGATTAAACCAGCTCTCGGGAGCTGATGCTGTGGTGGAGCAAGCAGGGAGTATAGTAGAAAGGCCCGAAAGGTACCTCAGACGAGGATAACGTGGTATATATGGTGTGAAGTGTATCTGCGGAATGCTAGTTTTCTGGTCCATATAAGCTGGTCGTGGCTCGCTGTTACAGGTGATCTGTTGGTGATTCCGCGGGTTCGCCACGTGACCATTCACCATCCAAATGCAGAGAGGACTCCTGGTATCTCCAACACAACTACGCGACCAATTAATCGTAGCGATTATCGGAATTAATTCATATTCGCATTTTTCTCCATGCAAGAAAAACCCAAACTCCTCTGGGGATTTCATGGTAAATATGGTAGCTAAAACTGCAACGATTCTTCAATCACTATTAAGAAATACATAAACACCGTATTGGATATCATTCACACCCGAAAAAAGAAAAGCGCCAAAAACACGTAATCAAGCAAATCTACCGTACCAGTCCTTTCCATGTTGCGCATCTGGTCCCTCACACGTCACGGTCCTCGACTTCTCTGCCTTCATAGAAGACCCCATGCACCTGGCATTTAGAATCTCCACCTTGAAATCGACTTGGACGTCTACGATGATGCGTTTCCAAGGATTCGCTTCGTCTTGATTGGTTACTCGTTTCTCCTGATCATCGCAGCTTGCTTCTTCGCATTCCAAGTCGTCAGGGGTTTGCAGGGCGTGCATGTGGCTTTGACGCTTGTTCATACTAGTAGATGTCTTCTCGTCTTGCTGAGCTTCGGTGCATCGCACGTTTGACTCGATAGCGTCATGCACAGATAGCATGTTTCCGCGGAGTAGACACCAAAAGTCAAGCGCGTTAGTGATGCATACTGCGAAACACGCCTCGCGTGTGTACCAAACTATGCGGGTTGTGGAGTGTGCGTCGGTAAAGTCGTGAAATTTTGCTAGAAGGGCTAGAATGACCTGGCGCACAAGCGTTAGTACTAGGGAAAGGGCTAGAATATAATGGCGTGTGTGACGTACGATAAAACTGCCCATGCCGAGTAACATCACTAGCTTGATCTTTTGTTTAACCGGTAGCGAGAGCGACGTGATCAGCGAGATCGAGATCGCGACAATGAATGCATCGCTGCTGAAGTTGAATATTGCATGTGCAATAGCAAACTCCTTGACGGTGCTGCAAACCGTAAAGAAGGCCACTTCAACCGCCAGCCAGCCGATGACGATGTATACTGCTGCACCCTTGATCCATTTCGCGGCGGTCGTTTCTTTGAGCATGCGAGCGAATGTCAATAGCATACATAGTTTTAATACGGACATCACGTTGTGCATACACTGCTGGATGTTAGCTTCATGTGTCGATCTATCTTTCAACGTGTCACCTGCTACCAACATACCTGCTCAGCGACAGCAATGGCTGTTGATTCTTTGATCCAATTATTGAAGCCATCTTTTTCAAATGCTTCCACACTTTCTGGTGAGAACATGTTGCTTCCGTCTTTGGCAGTTGTTGGAGTTAAGACCACTGCCAGCCCAGTGTAAAGTATCGGCACAGCCGTCATCATGATCCAGTCATCTACCGCGAACAGACCAAGGTTATGAACATGACGCCACCGGGAGAAGCTGGGATGATCTATTAGCCTCATGTACACACGATAAATTCTCGTTACTGACATTCGCAGCGTGATGGCAACAATGCCGATGCTGTACAGAATCCATGCCTGAAATACTAGTAGTCCCTGTGGGAGGCTCGATAAGTTGAAAACTTGCATTGCCAGTTCTTTCCTGGTCGTCATTTTTCGGAGATGTTTCGCTGCTAGAGGTGTGTTCACAATATACTGTGGACCCGGTCAAGTAACCAAGCTCTCAAGTTGTGTTATCTACTTCATGAAAATGGCCGTGAATTAGACGCGAACTAGATGCGTGTGTCCTCGAACCGAAAGAAACAACTGGATATAAGTATCGTGCTGCTGACTCGACTAATAAGGTTTGAGATGGGTTCGTCTTTTGGTTCGTCAGATCAAACTCGAGATCGCATCCTCTACTCGTCCGACACTGCTTACCGAAACGCCTCGGCCCGTCAAGGGGTCCCCGCAAATCCAGTCGAATTAGGCAACGAGTAGTACTGGTCGGGATTCCCAACCGAGGATCGACACAGCAGTCAATGTGTCGGCTAGGGAGTTCCAGATCCATACACCGGGAAATTCTCAAGAGCCCAACACGATGAATATTCTTATTGGTGAAGAAAGGCCGTGTGGACGTGAACGAAGCTTGGGCCTTTGTGGATCGCGGGATGGACGGCGACGGCGGCGGGAGCGGGATGTGGGTTCCGTCCAGCTGTGTGACGATCACATCTTAGTAGAGCAATGAATAACATACTTTATTGCAATGAATGAGGCGCTTCTCATGCTCGTATCCGACGCACTGGTCCGAAATTGAGAGTGCAAGTCTCGACACAGGAACGTGGGTGCCGGCGATAAGACTAGAAAAAGCAGTTATGGCCAAATGAAGCTAGCTGGTGTGTTTTCGGATGTCAAGTCATTCGATAAGAGAAAATGATGTCCAACACCCCGTACCCTCGTATCCCCCCAACGCCCCGTGAGGTCTAAGACCGTTCGATAGACGCGAGGAAAGTCTATTCGAGTAACGTTAACGCCACAACATTGAGTAATCAAAACGTCCCAACATGTGGTGACAGGATAGTTGAAATTATATTTTGTTACAAAGAATATGTCTCGGGTAAAAATATACAAGTACCCTCGAGAAAATAAAAGAGATATGAATCTAAACATGCTGATACCTTCAGCAGGGAAACCAGACAACACCATATGAGATCTACGCCCAGGACTAAGAAAAAAAGCCACAAAGTGGGCAAGGGAGTCAACACATGAAACCTTGCACGACGAATACAGAAACCGAGATTCCACAAAGAGACCGACAGGCATACGCCAAGTAGGCGCCAATGATCACCTCATGCGGAAGGGAGCGGGACAAGGATCAGGCACCAAACGATATGCTACTGAGCCCAACTACCCCTTCTAATGGCAGCAGTGCCATGACAAGAGCTGGTAAGATCTTCGTCAGCCATGTTGGGATGCTGTCTCGCCCACTCCTTGATATAAATGCGCAGCGCGCGCCAACGCATGCACGTTTCTTCAGTAATCTCAGAGTCCTTCAAGTTGCCGTCCTTCCCAAGGCGAATGTAACCGCGAGATTTGGCGAGATGGTCATCTTGCCGTAACTCGGAGATAGGAATGTGTGAAATTTTGGAGAGCTCTGTGTCGAATGGACGCGCCATGGATGGATAGCCCAGCGATAGATAATTGTAAACTTGGGTAACAAAATCGTCGCCAAACTCCTCTTCGATTGACTGCTCGACAGCAAGCTTCTCATCAATGCCAGCAAAATCCGATGGCGCGAATGTTGCGCCTGAGCTAGACGCTGGAGGAGTAGGCGGCAACAGACTCGCAGACGGTGTTGGGTAAGGTGAGATGGGATTTGGTATCTCTGTGTTGGGCGTCAAAAGACCAGTTGGCCCGCGTGGGGACTTGTCTCCGCCATTGACGCAGAACCCGCCCCACAAGCCATGAGTACTCGAAGCGCGGCTGTTGGCAGTAGACCACAAGGATGGTGTTGTGCTTGTTTGTCTTCCATTGCCTTTGCCGCACCACAGGCTTTCGCCTTTTTCAGAAGCAGCTTTGGACTGCTCGGAGAGATAGCACATGGCTGTCCTAACCGCATCACATCCTTGGGTAGGATCGAAACGAGATGGCTCAGGAGATTCGCAGCGTGGAAACTTAATATCTTGACCGAGCATAGGGGGACGGGCTTCTCTTCGCTGGCGCTCCAATTCGGGGTCTTTGCGTTCCTTTGCAAACTTGCTAGCCGTGGCAGCGTCGAGAAAGCCTGCGGGATTGCCAAAGGGGCTGAAAGCAGCCTTTACGTATTCAGTGGGCTTCGGCTTCTCTTTCTCGGCAATCTGCTCTGCTTGGTATTTCCGCATGGCTTCCAATTCCCAGTTCACGACAGTATATGGGGGCTCTGCCTCTGGCTCTGTTTGGGGCTTTGCCTCTGTGACAGATGGCTCCGAACCCTCTGTGTCACGATCTACGTAGTGAGCCACAGGCTCGTGAATATCACTGTTAGGGAATGCTGCCAACGCTTGTTCTCGAAGTTGCTTCTCAGCAGCCTTGGCAGCCAGCTCAAGCAAGTATCCAGCAGAGGTGCCGTCGGCACTCTCCCGCCGTCGGGTAGCCTCCTTGTACATGAAGGAGTGGTCAGGCCTGTAGGGAGGTGACTCGGTGGGTGAAGGCGGGGTTGATGCTTCGGACTCGGAAGATTCAATGGGGTCCAAGTCTGGCACGCGGAATGAATGTTGTGAAGAGCTAAAGTACGATCGGCGTCTACTTAGTGGCGAAGCGTTGCGTTGAATCTCCAGAAACAAGGGGTTTTGTGACATGTCATATGTTGGAGTGTTCACTGGTGGAGTAGGTGGGATTCCTAGTATTCTTGCTTTTCGGGCACTGATGGCTGACTCTGGAGTGGCCTCTGTCTTTTCGTAATCAAACAACACAGGCTCGTCGTCACCTGCTTTGCGGTGTCTCTGAGCAGTCTCGATCAGCTGGGGCCTGAATCTCTTAACAGGTAGCTTTCTCGGTACTGTGCCCAGGGGATTGACTTTGAACTTGTCAGTGGGCGATGTTTGCTCTTCCCAATCACGGGCAAATTTTTGACGACTGCTTCTTGTGGTCGTTTCCAAAGGCTGAGGGACAAAGCGGCGATTCGATCTGGTCGTAGTTTCCATAGGCTGGGGTGCAAATCTTCGCGGCACCTTGGAACTTGTGGCAGTTGTCTCAATGGGCTCGGGTATAAATTTCCGGTTTGCTTTGGAGCTTGTGGTTGTAGTCTCAAATGGCTCAGGTGCGAACCTACGTCTGGCTTTGGAACTTGAAGTAGTGGTCTCAATGGGCTGAGGCGCAAACCTTCGCGGCTTAGGCGCCTCAACAGGCTCCTGCCTGGCTTTGTCCTTTGAAGACGAAACCGTCGTCTCAATGGGCTCGGGCTTGAAGCGCCTTGGAGGTGCTGCGGAGTCCATCTTTATTAGCGTCGTGTACCCCCGACAAGTGGCCCCTTACGATTTGGTCTTGTGCAAATCGTTTATGTCACTGTTGGTGAGCTGCCAATCGCAGGTGTGCCTCTGGTGCGGATGCGCACGCGAGCGGGGAAGTCGATCGGGGAGGTGGATCGGGACAATCCGGGGCATGCAGAGGTAGCAATTCCCAGGTGGTTATGGTGTTGACGGGTGCAACAGGATGTAGTGTGCCTCTTGGGAACCGAGGTATATGCAGTCTATAGTATTCTGCTCGGGGGGTGGGTGGGCAGAGTTCAAGAGTAGGCGTGTAGGCTTTGGGCAGCGGTCAGTCTCGTGGGCATGGAGGTTGTGGGCAATGCATATGCACTCGACTCACCAGACCGCGTATCTCTTTTCCCACACGGCCAGGGGCTTGTCGAAGGGCGGAAAGCGTGTGGACGGGGCTCTGGCGGGCAACATGTGAAATATCACAGTGTCGAGCGGGCGGTGGACGGGGTGCAGGATGACGTATGGGCGACTGGGTCGCAGGTCGCGGTGACAGTCTAGGGGCGACCGCGCGGGGATTCGCGAATTTGGGGGAGACAAGAGGGAGGGATGGAAGGGTGGGGACGGTGTGGAGGGATATATGAGGCAGCGCAGTGTAGCGGTACGACGGCAGTGCTAGGGCCGTCGACGGTCAACGAGGCGCATCGAGTTGACAAGATGGTGATTCTTGTTGGGTCCAGAAGAGCGCTTCGATCAAGTCTCGACCGTTGCGCCTCCCCCTTCATGCCCGATAACTCGAAATTGTTCCATCAATGCACCGCGCCCACAGTGCCGCCGCTGATGCATCTGCACTCATATCCAAAAAAGCAATGCTCACCACCTGTCACTGAGTCTCTGACGCTGCCCGGCAGCAAGCCACACAGCGTGCAGCTCGTCGGCGCAGCAGAGCCGTCGAGTCAGCTCAGCAGCCAGCTCCCACACATATCCCACACGTCCAATTCGTCTAGCATTCCACGGCGCGACGACGGACAGCAGCCGGGTGGGTCGCTGGACGGGCTAGGCATTTCCATTTCCATGTCGAGGCCGCCGCCATGGATCGGGATGGCGTCGCTGACTGGGGGATCGACAAATGACATTTGGGTGCCATGCCCTCACCTCTTCAAGTACGACGGCCGGGCCTAGCATGCGAGTATTACTAGATACCACACTACTCTGCACGGGATATACCATGTACACACCCGTGAGCCTCTGGCACACGCGACCGTCGGCATGTGCAGCCAACATGACCGCCAAGCCATCGTCACGATGCATCGACTCGAGCAACGTGCTCTTGAGGCGCAACTTGTTCGCTTTGGGATCGGAAGAGGTCTCACCACGCAATACCGCACGGGTCCACGTTCCGTCGACAATCCACGCTGTCAGCCGCAAAAAATGCCTCTAGACGGATCCGCGGCCGCCCAAGGGGTAAATGCATGTTTCGCCGTTGTCTATTTGCAGGCCATCTGCTAGGTCAAGCCACGGTTGCACCATGCCAACAACGTTAGGCGACCGTCCGCCCACTGGGGGTGCTACGGGTGATGTCGGAGCAGCCCAGCAACCAATTTGCGCCTACACGGCCATCACTCGTCGCTCTGCCTGCTGCCGGATGTGACATCTACAACCGGACATTTCTCCCATTGTGCCTCGCCCACCGGTGACATGTGCGCCTTTTCTTCTTATTAGCACAGCATGCAATTGCAATCCTCGTCTCCTCAGAGCCTGACCTTCTTGCACACGACCTCACGTGCCCACCTTCCCTTCTACACGCATGCATGGGTGAATTTGGGTATCAATTTCAACTAAGAAATACAGGCAATATCAAACCTAGCTCCGGCCCAAACGCGCAGACGATGCGGCTAGCTAATTCCCGAAACAAGCAAAGTGCGCCCTCACTCCAATGCAACAACAAGCTCGAATAACAAACGCCCTGGAGCATCAAATACCACCCGGCCATGACCTGCTAACATGCTCGGTATCGAGGCGGTGAGACGTTTTCGTACCCAGGCACATACTCTCTCATCAACTCCTCCATTCAAGATGACAACCGAACACGCTCCGGAACGAGAGGCGATCCCGGATCCCCTCGACAATGCTCAATCTGCACACTGAGGCGCAGGGGTGTTTGTAGAAAGTAGTACCTTATCGGGACCCGCATAAGGCCTACCAAAAGTGTACTATTTCCTGGGCCGGGGGTTAAGCTGCGAGCAGGAGAGCTTGCACGGCTGCAGTCCCCCGACGAAGCCAACTCAACCACCATACTCGAAGACGAAAACTCGCTGCCCGTACCGTCCGAAACGGACGCGCCAGAGTCCGGCATCGATTCCTCGGATCCGCTGAGATCTCCAGACTCTCCACCACTCTCCTCCTCTTCCTCCTCCTCGCCGACGAGCGTGTTTCCATCGCTCTCGGCCCCGCCACCCTCGTCGTCGCTCTCCTTCGTGCAGCCGTATCCGCAGTCATAGTTGCAGTTCCTCGCCTTCAACTGCGGCGGTCTTTCCGGTGACACGGTGCTTATGTTTGGCTGCATAGGCGAATCATTGCCACCGTTGTGGTTGTACATTCTGAGGAAGATTCCCGAGGGCGATAGCTATGTCAGCGTCAGCATGAGTATTAGCCGGAGTATTAAAGTAGCCATCGCCCACTGAGGCATCGTCTACTCAAGGAGACACGACCTACCTACAAGGCTACGGATATAGCAAGTCTATATGCAATGACGCTTTCAAAAAGCCCCAAGACCAGACAAGACAGTAATGGCTCTCAAATGGTGCAAGCTAACATTACAGACAAAACTTCCACCCAAGATTTCGACTTGTTGGAAGAGTAAACCCACGATCACAACCACAGCGCACCACCGCATCTTTAACTTCGCACCCACAAGCCCATTAGCCTCTGCTAGCCGCCCATCCTCGACTCACACCCATCATACTCGCCACCACATAAAGTGACACGTCGACGATTTCCCCTCACCAGCCAGCCTAAAGCCATGCAGCCGACACAGGAAAAGGGACCTCTGGCATCCCGTCACTGGACGATCTCCACGCCTCTGCGCCATGTGAATCAGCAAACAGACGTCACGAAATAGGGCCAAAAAAGACCACCACACCGTCTTTCTTTTCCCCTCTTTCATACACCTCATCGCCTCCTCAGCTCCGACACCAGGGGCGGACCTCCCGCAGTCGTGATTACCCTGAATTACCCTCATGGACAAGGGGGGAATGAGGGCTACATCACCACATGTAGGCAGCAGGACCGAAGGTAACCGACCAAGGCCCTCTGCATTTCAGCCCCCATGGTCCTTTCCCCCCTTTTTTTCCCCCGCCCCCAATCACAATCATGGCCGTTTTTTAAAGTTCCTTTGCATTCCGCTCACCGGGGGGCCGCATCTGCATTCGCCTGGACGCCGTTTTCAGGCAAAGCGGAGTAAGAAAAAAAGTCTCCGTCGGTGAGAAGGATGGGTTTAGAGGACTTGCGAGCCAATGACGTGGGGTGGACGGGGATGGGATTGGCTGCCTCGATTTTATCTTTTTTTGGGTCCCTACGGGACTATGGCGTTTTATGACGGGCGTAGAGTTTCAAGGTGAGTTGGAATAGGAATGAGCTGAATGTAGATGAGATGACGTGATGTTTGAGGCTGGATGAGAAATGTTTGCCATGTGATTTTGTCGTCATAACTAACATCCTGATCGTACGACCGTAGAAATCCAGTCAGATGTATGGAAATTTTGAACTTTTTTTTTCTTCTTATTGGCTACTTTGATTTGTTACCCTGGTTCAAACATCTCGCATGTTCTTGTTCTTCTGTCCCTTCTATCTCCTGCACACAATGCATACAAAATGCAATAACAATCGGTATCTTTCTCCCTCGACCAAAAAAAATCCTACAGTTGGAAATCCTACACTCCGCCGCCTTTCCGTTTACTTATTATGCCACAAAAGCGTCCGTAGCGAATCCCACTCATCCGACTGGACATAACTATTATCTCCCCGTTAGCAATGCGATCCCCATCCCAAAAAAAATAACAATGGAAAAAATAACCCACATATAACTCATACTACTCCTCAGACTACTCTGCACACTCTCGGGATGCCACCTAAAAATATACATAACCATGGCCCAACTCAAACTCGCAAAAGCCGGCCATCCATTCCGCACAAGCGCACGCCTCATCTCCCCGTTTCCAAACAACTCCCAGCCTTTGACTCCGCCATGTTTGGCCCCAGCTCCAGCGGAGACTTCACGCGGCTGCACGGCGAGTTTGGCTAGGGCAAGACAGACGCGAGCGGCGACGTAGATGACGATTTGCTGGGAGACGGAGTTGTGGATTGTGCGGCCGAAGACGGTGTAGCCGCCGAGGAGACCCGCGAGGAAAGAGTCGTATTGGCGCTCTTTGCCGTTGGGCGAGGTGTGGCGGAGGAGGAGCATGGTGGCTTTGTAGACGAGGGCGAAGAGGCCGAGGTTGCGGGCGTGTTGGCGGGTTGCTTTGTAGACGAGGAGGCATTTGGAGCGGAAGCTACGACAAGGTTAGTATATTTTTTTCTCTGTTTTTTTTGTCTGTTCGCTGTGGATTAGGTAGGAGGAGGCAGATTTTACCTTCCTGATCTGAAGAGGAAGATCATTCTACGGGTAATGTTAGCGCTGGATTGTTTCTTCGTTCTGTTGTGGTTACAGATTAACATACACGAGTGCGTGTGGAAATCGCACTTTACTTCCATACACGATACCGTTCCTCACGCCTTTTACTAGTGTGAGGACATCGTGGTATTTGGGGTCTAGAGCAATCTTCTCTAGCGCAGCCTATTTTGATTCGCCATTCCTGTCAGTTATCAAGCACGACAAAGGTTCGCAGAAGGATAGCTCGGAGCGGAGTGTATGCGCGAGTTTTCGCAGCGAACGGGGCGACGTACATGGAGAGCGTGTAGTTGGTCCATGGCGGCGGTAATGTGTATGTGTGTATGTTGTCTTCGACTGCACGTGTAGACAGTAGGGGTATCAAGGAGCGTTGTACGTTCGTCTGCGATTGCGACAAAACGCCAGCGAGAGATCGCCAGCTGACGATGCGAGCGAGCCTCGGTTCAGAGCGCGCGCCAGTTGCAATGACGTCGAGTTGCGCCGTGCTATCTTGCAATTCACAATGCTGCAGCGAGACCGGGAATAGGGGGATAGAAAATCAGACAGTGATTATTGAAGAGGAAAGACGCGCATCCTAGGGCTGGGGCAGGAAGTGGGTTGGCGACTATGCTTGCACGGGTGTACCCTGAAGGTGAAGGGTCACAATCGCGTTGCCATCTGCATCCTCGGCTCCAATCTCACATTGCCGCTGCCGGTCGGCCTGGTTTCCCCACGTTGGAGCATCGTTTCGCACTAGACCACGATAGGAATAGACTGGGGATCACAGGATCCTGCTTTGACATGTGAAGGCTCGTGCAGAGTGCAGTTGACATGTGCTTTGGCGGGTTGTCGTCACTTAATAGAGCATATTGAAATGGTGTTTAGTAGCTAATACTATTTCTAAATATAAGAAATAACAGAAATAACTCTATAAGCTAGGCGTAAGACCATGATGGTATCTCTAAGACGATGCCTCAAATCTATGCTTCCTTTTCTCACAAACGCCCTTCCGTCCTCGTTCTCGAGCTCCCATATGTACCGTCTAGCTGCCTTGGACGCTCAAAAAAATGTTTACACCGTGCTACTCAGACCCGCGGCTGGGCCATCGCTTTTTCAACTCCTCATACACAGTGAAGATGAAAGCAGAACTGGGGATCGATCTTGCAACTGTGATACCGCATCCGCGATACATACCCTTGATGCCGTGTTGTTTCCACAGCGCCTTGCCTACTGCGGTGAAACTCGACTTTCCGCCTGTCAGGTGCTTGACGTCTTCTGTCTGCATTCGCGACTTGATCGTGTCGGCAGGATAGAACATAAAGTTGTATGCGCCACCAGCAACAGAACCGGAAGCCATGCGCTGCCACACACGGAGATCCTCGTCTTTGGTCGAACCGTTGATTCCCTTGAAGATGATCTTCATGCCCTCGTAGCCACCAAACCATGCCGCGCCGCCTCCTGTTTCCCTAATCAAGGTTCCCAGCTGACCGTGCCAGTAGCCGGAAAGACCTTGGTGGCGATAGATCGAGGCAATGACCCCTCGAATTGTTGGAGTAGCAACTACAGTGCCAGGGCTTTCTACAGGGACTTGCATCTTGCACTTAACAAGTTCAATGGGGGTGAGGAACAACGAAGTGATTGCTCCAGCGACCATGCCGCACCAGAGCATGCCTGAGTAGGGCAGGTCTCGTTCAGGGTGCCTCTTCAACTCTGGGTATACACCTGAGGCTTTTAGAGCATCCCCCGCTATGCGATACTATCGACCACGTCAGCGTGGAACATGGTGACTCAAAGAGGTGTAACTCACGCTGAAGAATAGGGTGCTGCTTTCCACCGCAGCCCCAACCAGAGGCGCACTAATGCCTCTATATATTCCCAGAAACCCATCGTGCTGCAGTGATTTCTTGAAGCAGTCCAGCGGCCCAGTGTACCGGAGCGGTATCGTGTCAGGCTGTGACTGCAGACGGACCTTGACCGTGTCGAAGGGGTACTCAATGTACTTGCCAACGATTCCGGCCGTTGATCCGCACAGAATGTCCTTTAGGGCCTCTTCTCCGCTGCTGGTTACATGTGCTGCAGCAGGACGCTGTGCGTCTTCCATGAGAATTGTATTGGGCAGCCCGCCTCTTCCGGCCAACACCCCCACCGAGCTCTTGTGTGCTTCCATCAATCTTCAATATGTATGGTGTATTTGAGTATGTTTAGGACGGTCAAAGTATGCTGGTGGGAAGCAGGGGCATGTTGGGTACCAAGAGTCGTGGGCGGTGAGAGGCGCGGAGATGAGTGTTATGAAGTCGCGCTCATGTCAAGGCTGGCGTGGGACAGCAGCGTACTGAAATTGCAAGTGGAGCAAAGTCAGGAGTGAAGTGACACAAGGAGAGTTGGACGGGACGAGGCAGCGGGCCGTGGGTGGTGTGCGACTATGGATGAATGCAACTACACGAGTCTGGCGCCCAACGTGATGCAATCAAGAAAGACTTTTCCCTAGCTCCAAAAAATCTTCAGGGCGTCGGGAGAGGGAATATATAGAAAGTATCAAGGGCGCAGCACCCCTTTGACCCGGACATGCCGCTGACACGGCTGCGATCGCGACAAACAAAAAAATGACCATTGCACATTACTACTCGATGAGGCATGCGCGTTTTCTTTTTCTAATCTTATCAGATCTGATGGAAGCATCACCGCCTGTCGCTGCACACGCCACCCCGCTTTCAGCCAGCCGTGCCAGCCGTGCCAGCCGTACCACTCTGACCCTGGACGCTTTCCGCGCTATCGATATCGGCTAAACTTTTCTTGCGCCGCGACTGTCGACTGCTTTGGCCCAGACGGAAAGACGCCGCTGAGGCTCACGATTGCCCACCACCATCACCATGTCTGCACCCGTCACAGTAGAGGCGCCTCCCGCCACGGAGACGGTGCCTGTCAAGGGCATGAAAAAGAACGGTATGCGCAGCATTGCGAGGACTTGCGCCACACCACCATCTAACCACCTGCGCAGGCAAGCAATGGCACGACAACAAGGCTCCATTCCGCCCACGGGCAAACCAATCTTCGTGGGAGAAGCGCCAGGCAGAGAGGAAGGCTCTTGCTGCAGTCAAGGCAAAGGAAAAGGAGCTCAAGGAGGAGAAGGAGGCAGAGAGACAGGTAGGCAATGCGATTGCTCAACTACGCGCCATCTGTGGCTGACAACGAAACAGCGACGAGTCGAGGCAATCAAGACCAAACGGGCAGCTAAGGAAGAACGCGAACGCTTTGCCAAGATGGAGGAGAAGATGCACAAGAGGCGCGTCGAGCGTCTGAAGAGGAAGGAGAAGCGCAACAAGATGCTCAAGTCATGAACGGGGTCAGTGGAAAATTTGTGGTAACACAGCACAATCCAACCGAAAAATGCCGCTTCGAAAGGAGGTTAAAGAAACAGAAGCTGGCAAGAGCAACCACCCTGTCGTTTCGACATGCAAGATGGACAGGACATTCTCAGTCTACGCTGAAAGGCAGTATGACACGAGCCTTCGTTTTTCCGAATGCAGGCGCAAAAAAAGGATACCCTGGGTTTCATAAGTGGATAGCAACTACCAATCAATTCCCACTATTTCCCGTGCAAACCTGGTAGCTTAGTAACAGAAATGGTCATGACGTGCATTGTAATAATTCTCCGCCTGAAGAGAGATAAGAAGGAACCATAGCTGCAAGCTCGGCAGTAGAACCAGACGCCTCTCTTCTCCATCTCCATTCACATGCTTGTCCGTTGGGGGTTAGCGTAACGAACCCCTGCAATGATACGCGACGCTCGGATGGCAGGCTTGCGACTGTGCAACCGCGCAACCACAACGTCAACTGGCTTCCCGGCCCTCGTAACCTCCACCATGACATGGAGGGATCGCTGCACTTACATGCAGGCCTGGCCGACCCCACGGCATTCCGCCCCACTCTCCGAAGCTCCAGCGCAGAAACCCGAGTGACGTCGGATCCCGTCAAGAAGTCGCAATCGCAATCTCATTCACACAAGCACAAGCACAAGTCGTCGCGTCACCACCACGACAGTCACGATGGCCATCATCGCCATGGCTCGAGTCGGCGTCATGCAGCCAAGGAAGCCATGCAGTCGGCTATCCAGATACAACCGCCTGCTAGCTTTGGAGACCTGCTAAGGCAGGCGCGCGGGAGTAGGGACACCAGCCCCAGCCATAGTCGCAGGCAGAGTGTAGCCCCAAGGCAAGCCGAAGGGAGTGCAAGTGGAAAGGAGGAAACTACACCGGGCATCACCATCCCCCCGCGGAGACCACTCCGGCCCGCAGATATAGAGCTAGAGGAAAAAAGGGTCGAGGCTAGAGAACGGTAAGTTTGCGTCATTGTGAATACTCCGCATTCTCATGCCATATCCGGAAGAAAGCTTCTTCTAACATGTCTCATAGTGAGCTCCGTGCCGCCCTTCAATCCCTCTCGGACCAGTCTCTCAAGATCTCGCGCCGCCTAGACGATACATATTACTCAGTCCTCGAGAAGATATCCGTCCTGCAACAGACAATTGGTACATTACATGAGCTGTCGGGTCTCACCAGAGAACTACACCAAAACTTCGAAGCAGACACTACAGAACTCGTAGATGATGTGACTGGCCAAGTTGAAGCATTCGACAACTTCGAGACACAGCAAGAGCAAGTCATCGGCCTTGAGGAGCGGATCAAAGCAGGAAAAGAAAAAGCAGATGCTCTGACTGCACGACTTGAACAGGCCAAAGAGCATGTTGACGCCAAAGCAAAGTTAGAAGCAGAATTGCAGGCAAAGAACACCAGTATGAATACGACGAAATTGCCCTGGGATTCAATCAAGCTAACAAATGATTTTAGATTGTATACGTATCTTCTGGAGTATCGTTGGCATCATAGCCGCCGTCTTCTTTGCTTTTGTCCTCTTCCATGCCTCCCGACCGGTTCCTGATTATGTTGAACAACAAAATACCAGACTGGATCCCGCATCTCGAGATGCCATCTTGAATGCAGAGATACCGGATATTGCAAAAGAAGCGATTATAGGACCACCAACACCCAAACGTAAACCAATCGTCAAAGTGGATAGTGCCAAGCGTGTTCTCAAGGACGATGAGCGTCTCCGTGCATTCGACGAGCTATAATATTTTCTATGGTTTTAAATTTCAAAGATACCCTTTCTTTTCCAATAGATCAAGTCATCCATCTTATATCAAACTTGAAAACTTGCACACATTTCTTCTTCATAACCAACAGTTCCAGTTCCTAATGCCCACTCTTGTCATCAAGTAACATCACATTTACGCCTTTCCAGCGTTAAAAACTCTTCCCATCTAGATGATCCACCTTGATACCCTCCAAATCCACATCCTGCAACATACGCACATTGATGCCCGTAATCCCCGGCATGAAATCCGCTTCTTTCGATCGCAACATGCAAGAGGACCCGCACGTACCACAGAAATAATGTCCTACTTTATTCGTAGCAAACGAATAACACTATACCTTCACATCAGCCTTTCCCTTTTAACCTTCTTTTCTCCAAACTTTCTTTCTGGATGTATGAAATGTAGGAGGCGGAATGGGGGGAAAATGTCATACCTTGAATTCCTCCAACGCCCCCTTTTCAAAAACAACTCGCTCGTTCGCCACGTAAATAAACATGTACCCGTTTCTCGCACAAATGCTGCAGTTGCATTGCTTTATCACTGCGTCGGAGGCGTTGAGCGGGGGTGATGTGGTCACGGTGTAGGTGAAAGCGCCGCAGTGGCAGGATGCGGTGTAGGAAGTTGTTGGGGCTGAGGGCGGGGGAAGGGTGGGTAGGGACATTTTCGTTTGATGTTTGACTAGTCTTTTTTTGATGGAGGGTTTGTACGTGTAGAAGAGAGAGATTGAATGGTTTCGTGGTGTGTTTTGATACTTTTGGTTATTCCATAGACGCATATATATATATATATATATATAACGTGGTTCACAAGCGAATCGGTTGCCCAAGCGAATCGGTCGCGCCCCACCAGCGCGTCAACGTCGACACTACATCACATTATGTCTCA